TTTGGAACGTCATATCTCCGCGGGGAGTTCTGTCGTTTTGGAACGTCATATCTCCGCGGAGAGTTCTGTCGTTTTGGAACGTCATATCTCCGCGCGGAGCTCTGTCGTTTTGGAACGTCATATCTCCGCGCGGAGTTCTGTCGTTTTGGAACGTCATATCTCCGCGCGGAGTTCTGTCGTTTTGGAAAGTGCGGAGTTCTATCGTTTTGGAACGTCATATCTCCGCGGAGAGTTCTGTCGTTTTGGAACGTCATATCTCCGCGCGGAGTTCTATCGTTTTGGAACGTCATATCTCCGCGCGGAGTTCTGTCGTTTTGGAACGTCATATCTCCGCGGGGAGTTCTGTCGTTTTGGAACGTCATATCTCCGCGGGGAGTTGTGTCGTTTTGGAACGTCATATCTCTGCGCGGAGCTCTGTCGTTTTGGAACGTCATATCTCCGCGGAGCTATTTCAATTTTCGCACCGACACCCGAGCTATTATCCGAGATTTAAAAAAAAAATCATCGAAAAAGTTTAGATTTTCGCACCGACCTCGACTTTGAAAAAAATGGAACGTCATATCTCCGCGGGGAGTACTGTCGCTTTGGAACGTCATATCTCCGCGGGGAGTTCTGTCGTTTTGGAACGTCATATCTCCGGGAGGAGTTTTTTCGCTTTGGAACGTCATATCTCCGCGGGGAGTTCTGTCGTTTTGGAACGTCATATCTCCGCGGAGAGTTCTGTCGTTTTGGAACGTCATATCTCCGCGGGGAGTTCTGTCGTTTTTGAACGTCATATCTCCGCGCGGAGTTCTGTCGTTTTGGAACGTCATATCTCCGCGCGGAGTTTTGTCGTTTTGGAACGTCATATCTCCGCGGGGAGCTCTGTCGTTTTGGAACGTCATATCTCCGCGCGAAGTTTTGTCGTTTTGGAACGTCATATCTCCGCGGGGAGTTCTGTCGTTTTGGAACGTCATATCTCCGCGGGGAGCTCTGTCGTTTTGGAACGTCATATCTCCGCGCGAAGTTCTGTCGTTTTGGAACGTCATATCTCCGTGGGGAGTTCTGTCGTTTTGGAACGTCATATCTCCGCGCGGAGTTCTGTCGTTTTGGAACGTCATATCTCCGCGGAGCTATTACCCGAGATATTAAAAAAATCATCGAAAAAGTTTCGATTTTCGCACCGGCCTCGATTTAAAAAAAATTGAAGGTCATATCTCCGCGCGGAGTTCTGTCGTTTTGGAACGTCATATCTCCGCGCGGAGTTCTGTCGTTTTGGAACGTCATATCTCCGCGCGGAGTTCTGTCGTTTTGGAACGTCATATTTCTGTGCAGAGTTCTGTAGTTTTGGAACGTCATATCTCCGCGGGGAGTTGTGTCGTTTTGGAACGTCATATCTCTGCGCGGAGCTCTGTCGTTTTGGAACGTCATATCTCCGCGGAGCTATTACCCGAGATATTAAAAAAAAATCAACGAAGAAGTTTCAATTTTCGCACCGACTTCGATTTTGAAAGAAATGGAAGGTCATATCTCCGCGCGGAGGTCTGTCGTTTAGGAACGTCATATCTTCGTGGGGAGTTCTGTCGTTTTGGAACGTCATATCTCCCCACGGAGTAGTATCGTTTTGGAAAGTCATATCGCCGCGCGGAGTTCTGTCGCTTTGGAACGTCATATCTCCGCGGGGAGTTCTGTCGTTTTGGAACGTCATATCTCCGCGAAAATATTACCCGAGATATTAAAAAAAAATCATCGAAAAAGTTTCGATTTTCGCACCGACCTCGATTCTGAAAAAATAAGTGATGTAACCCCTTGCCATTTTGTCGATTTGGGACAAAATTTTGAATTAAGCACTTATGATAAAAAAGGAACTTAAATAGCATTACAGAAAAAAGTAGCAATAACCATGCTGTTAAAATGCGAAGCAGACGCGCATGAATGTGTGTTCGTACAGGTATACAGAAATTCTTAAAGATGCTGCTCTATTCAATTGCGCAGTTGCATTTAACTTTGGTTTTTCTTAAACCGATATTTATGAAATTTTCTACAGTATATCTTATTGTATCATAGAATATTTGTGTATACTGAAAAAGGCTATTGCATTTAAATTTTGGCTTAAATTGGTTGGCAATAAAAGTTGGGTTATTAACTTGATTTATAGCTCTAGGGTGGTAGCGGAGAGGTGGCGATAGGTATAAAATGAAAGATATTTACCAAAATTGCCCAAAAAACAGGATATCGATATCGATTCTTATCGATTGCTTGGAAACGGAGTACCTTATCGATTATCGGAAACAAACTCGATCTGCGCAGGCACTAGGAGCACCTACATCAAAAATTTCAGTCTATAGCTCTTATATGTTCTGAGATCCTTGCGTACATTTATACGGAGGTCGGAGATGCTTCCTTCTGCCTGTTACATACATTTGGATTTTGCACAAATACAATATACCCTTTTTCCCATTTTGAATGGGTTCAGGGTATAAAAAAAAGATTAAGAAAATACATTTACGTATTTGAAATGAATGGCAATTAATGTAGCTGAAAGGTAAGTAAACCGCGCGCGCTCTTATATTTGTAATTAGTTTGTATTTTTATTTATATTTGCTTAAAAAAACTAAAACAATTAATTTATAAACATAGGACTCGAAAACATTGAATTATTGACAAAAATTGCAGAAGTATTTCACACACATCAACTAAATTAATTGCGTTTATAATTTTCTGTATTTGTTTACAATCTTTTTTGTTTGCTTTAAAATAGACAATTAAAATGATTTATAAAATCGCTTCTTGAATATATATAAAAATCACTTAGATCTAATGCTTAGCGTTCACATTCAAATTGGAGTCCGTTCGCGGCCAAAATGCGCGCTTGCAAGATGGGCTTTTGGGCGTGGCCCCGCCTACACACGATTGCAGTTGCACGGAAAATTGTTGGGACCAAAAATTCAAGCATTGCATTTAACTATTTACAAAAATATTCATAATTTGCATTATAATGGGAAACATCGAATACACAAGTGAAGAGCCTTTGGAACATGAATAACACGTTTATGCAGTGCTACGTTTACGGATGAAGTACGAAAGCAAAGAGGGAAAATGACTGGAATAAGGATTGGACCACGATTTGTGAATGGGGAGAAAGTGTTTGAGCTTAACAATTGCAAAACAAAAGGAGTTAAGCGTAAATAAACATAAATGGGATTTGGAATTGCAAAAAGAGAGAGAGTTGTGGGCCATAAAATCTGTATATTTTGCATCTTATTTCGTGTGTCGATTTTCCATGCTTGTTTCTTACGGCTTTAAATTGCATTCGCTTTTGTTTTTGTTTTTTGTTCTTTAATTGTTTAGTGTGTTGTTTATGTTTACTTAGTAAAAGCTGACAACAAATTTGAAATACTTATTTGATAGGTACACTCAAAAATATGTGTGCTTGCATATTAGTTAGCTGCTGTTGGCGCTTCGCTCAATAACCATTATTTGATATTGCCTTCTTTTTTTTTTATTGATTTGTCTTGTCCTGGGAGTGTCCCCGCGTCCTGGCTATTGCGTTGAGTGAGTGGGCGGTGGTGGGTGGGGGGACTGGATGCTATAGTTCGAGTGTGCTGCTTGATTTGTTGTCCTTTAATATAGTATGTCCGCTTCAGTTATAACTATATATACCATTATATATATATATATATATATTTATATATACGTAGTACCTAGAAAGTAACCCCTATCCACTTTGTCTGCGCCAGCTCCTCCCAGCGTTTCGCCTATGCATATAGTATGTAGTTATATCTCATTCGCTCTCAAATATATACTTTTAGCTAACTAGCAATTAGTTACATATGTATACACCGCAATACAATTTGAAATTTGTTGTGAATCAATTCGCATAACATTCGCTATTTACAAATGGTTTTTTTTTTTTCAGAAATTTCCGCCTTACAAATTTTGACTAGTTATTTATGCATGCGCCTTGAAGAGGCTTCGGAATTGTTAGTTATAAACCGCGAGGGGCTTTCGTTTTTAGGACAAAATTGTTTCCTTTTTTTGTTTTGTTTATTTAACTCTAATGTAATCGAGCGAAAATGCTAGTTTCTGAAATCCTTTGGATACACTATCTTTAGGCTTAACGCCAATGTCTGTCTGTCTGTCTGTCCGCCTGACTGTCTGCTGATGTTGTTGTTTATACAGTTGCATTTTATTTTTTGTTTATTCTAGACCTATATCACCGCTTAATTGCCTTAAACACTCTAATTATTTCTTAGCATTTCTTGCTGATTCATTGTTGTCTTTCGGATTGGTTGTCCTCTGTGTGTCTGTGTGTTTTATTAGAAATTAGTTGATTGATTATGAACGTGTGTGAAGTGCAGCTACTTAATAAAGTTCAAAGTTCATGAAACTTCACAATTTCTTATGCCTGCGCTATGAATCATACAATATATATATATATATTTATATATATATATATGTCTATGTGTATGTATTGTATGCTTAGTTTTTGCAAGGTATTAATTATGTATGTATGAAACCAATGTGATCCTATGCAAAATTGTATTATTATGTATACATATATATATATAGTTAGTATAATTATGCTTATTATAAACTATTTTGCACTGTACAACAAAATATATATGTGTGTACGCGTTTTCTGCATTTCCTTTTCCTTTTCGTTTTTTTTTTTTGTTTTTTGTACAATTTGAAAACTAATTTAAACTTTTACATACATATACGTAGTTGCTAGAAAATTGTTTTTATTTGTTTCGGTTCTCCACTTAGTATTTATGTATATGTGTGTATGTGTGTTCGTGTATGTGTGTACTTTTTTTGTAGGAAACATTTTGGAAATGATATAGAAAAATAAATGCATAGAACTTTATTAAGCATACAGAACGTTAAGCTTTTAGCTTCTATTCGTATATGTAGTTGTTATATCTTGTCTTTTGCTTAATCATTTTTCATATTTGTATTTAATCTTTGTTTTTGTTTTTTTTTTTTTTTTTGATAATTGTATTACATATAAAGAAATATTTTGTTTAAATTTCAGCGCTACATTTCGCAAAAGGCGCGTTTAACTAGGCCTTAACAGCGCTTGCTCTAAGGCTTTATTGCAAACCATTTTTTTGCTCGTTAATTTTAACTTTTTTTTTATATATATATAATATATTGATTTCAAATATAAAGCACTTAGAACTAAACAAAACAAGGTAGTCAAAAAATAAAACAAACAAACAATAAATGTTATATACAGTAAAATAAATATTTGAATTGTTTACGTTCGCTTAGGCCTTACAATATGCAATATGCAATATGCAATGTACAATTAGTCTTAAATGTGTGTGTCTTGTATACATGTTCATCATATTGGGGATTTGGTTTTTGGTTTTTGGGTTTATCAAATTGTTAATGTTGTTGTGCAGTCGCAAATTACATGTTGCACGCCGCCCGATTAACTCAGCTTTGCAGCGTTAGCCACGTCAACATGGCCAACAGAACCATCCAGTTGGCCTGGTGAGCTGTGCTGGCACTGGAGCCGGTTTCGCCGCATTTACCTGCAGATAGAGAAGAGAAAAATATTAGATAATTGGACTAAAATATATTACGTGGCTATAAACAGGTCATTTTTTACAAATATCATATCGAGACTTCCTATTTTTATATTATTATTGTATACATTATAGAAGCTATAACCTCCTTTCACCCCATTATTTGTCTTCACATTTTCAGAAATCAATTTTCAGCCATCTTCCGCCTGTGAAAAAATCGTAGCTAACATATTTGTTATCCCTATTTTCATTGGATTAGAAATGTTTACATAGACCGCTCATAGTCTCAGGCAAAAACCCAAAAAGTAGCTTTATCATCCACTAGTAAGGCAGTCAGTCAGTCAATCAATCAGTCAGTTATGAGAAACAATCGTATAAATTAGCACGAACCAAAAACGGATAGATTGGCCACCAAATGATGATCAGGCGGCTTTTGTGTGCCCCGATAGCAGGCATCTCCCACAACCAGCTTGGCTGCATTGCCCTCCGTGGGCCTGTAGCTAATGCAGACGCCATGCTTGGTGCCCTTGTGCCTGGCTATAATGTAGACGGTGCTGTTCTCGCTCCACGAGCCATGACAGGAGTACTCTGTGTGTGAGATAAGGGGCAAACATTAGACTAGTTGCATATTGTGCTGTTTGACATAGCGTGCGTCTCGCTTACCTTCCTCACCGTCCACGCTACACAGCGGGCTCACATCGATGACATTGGGCGCACTGCAGCCGACCCAAAGCTGGCGCTGGGCATTGTAGTTGGTTACACAGCCGGGCACATCACGACGATTGCGCGTGGCCACGAAGCCCACGCTGGTATCGTTGGCGCTGCTCAGCACCAAGGCTTGTTGTTGCTGGACTTGGTGCTGTAGTTGCACCTGCTCCTGGTGCGGCTGCTGCTGCTGTGCTGGGAGTGCATTGCGTCGACTGCGCACGGGCAGGCCGCGCGTGTTGGCATGCCAGGAGCCGCGCTCCATGCGCTCGGCATTGCGAAAGCTGAGTGTGCTGTGCCTGCCGCACAAATAAACAAAACACAATTGGATTGGGCTACTTGCTCAAAAGTTCAAACATACCCCTTGTGGCCAAAGGAGCCGGCATCCAAGCCATCGCCATGATAATGATGATGGCCATGTCCGAGATGCGATTTGCCATTGTGATTGCGCTTGTGGCGCGTGACCAGGTACGGTGGCCCAATTGCGCCGCGCAGATTGTACAGGCCCTCCATCGGGCAAATATGCGGTTCCGGATTGCTTGCTGTACGAAAAAAGAGAATCGATTTTATATTAGTGCACAGCTAGAAGATACCCTGTAGCCGAAACTATGGAAAGAAATAGGCGCCAAAATATTTTAGTCATTTCCTTTTAGCTCAGACCTCCAAGCTGAGTAAAACGGAAAAGAGATAGATAGATAGATATATAGATGGAAAAATAAATAGACAGACAGACATGTGGATAGATAGACAGACAGGCAGATATATATATAGATAGATGACAGGGAGATAGATAGATATGTAGACAAATGGATAGATAGATGGACAGACAGACAGATAGTTAGATAGATAGGCAGATAAACAGACAGACACGGCTTTATCGGTAGTTATATATATATTTACTTTATGGAGACGTCTCCATTATACCCCATACTAAGGCTGTTGTCAACTTGTACAGGGTATAAAAACAGCGCACAGAGCGTGTGTACAGAAAACTTACCCAGCAGCGTTATGTAGGCCATCTTATTGAAGTCAAAGTGATCCGGTGCACAGGCATCCTCCAGACGAATGGCCGGCTTGCCCGTTTGTATCTCAATGACGTGCGTGTCCCGACGGTAAAACATCATGCACATAAAGCCGGATAGGCTGCAAACGGGGGGAAAGCGAGTTACGGCGGGATTTCTTATACGGTTTATTTTAGCTTACCAGCCGGTGGTGTAGTGCACCACAGCCATCATTTCGGTTGAGGTCTGTTTGTTTATCTGCTCGCACAGGGCACGTGTCTCCATGTAGCCGTTGGGCTTAATAATGTGCACGGAGCCATCGCTACAAAGAAATTGGAAACGTTTTATTGGCTGTCAGTAAGGATGCCTCAGGCTTTGCTGTTCCCGATCCCACTCACTTGGCATGATAATTGTAGACGGCATTGCCCATAAGTGCATGCCAGTGTCGCGGACCCTTGAACCAGGCGGGAAAATCGCAGCGCTCAGCCGCCGGCGGTTTCCGCAGCGACATTATTCGCGAGCCAACCTGCGGAAAATGGGGGAGGGGGGTAAAAAAGGCGAATTTAATGGCGTGGCTTTGATTTCGGATTTGTTGCTTTTTACCTCGGCGCTGTCTAAGCCATTGCAAGTGGCGTCGCCGGATTGCGCCAGCTTATATTCGGCATCCTTCGAGCTGAGCATGCTGGGGCCGCCTGCAAGGGTTATAAAAAGTTGTGAGTTGAGAGCACACATTTTTCCAGCAGCTTTTCTTACCCATCAGCGAGGAGATTTTCTCGTAAACAAAGCAACGATAGCGCTCCTCATTCGAAATGGCATGATGATGCGAGACAAGACCCACCAAATAGCGTGAGTTGCCATCCTTCCAGGTCGCCAGGCAGGTCAGTTCCTCAACTGGAAAACGACGTACAATGCAGTATACATTCGATTATTCGATTCAATTAAATTTTATAGCAATAGCCGCGCGTTTCATATTTCGCGTTTAACGAGGGAATACTGTAGCATGCTTGAATATGTTTTCCCGTATTATTTGGATTTCTCAGAAACATCTTTTGAGCAAGATCTGTCTTTTTGCCAGGAGATCTTTACTTACGAGCTTCAGAATTCTCCTCAAATATCTTTAAGAACCCAAAAGTAATTTAATTGAATGAAATAAAAGAACTGTAAAGTGTGGAAAAGCAGGTCCGTTTTCCAACACTACGTCAAGCTCAACGAGGGCCTACTGTAGCTTAATTAAATATGCTTTCCTGTATCTTTGCGATTTCTCAAAAACATCTCATTAAACAGAACAAAAGAAAAACGACTGATGTTCAAGAGAAACATTTCAGAGATCTGAATCATGGTTGTGGACTTACCCGTGCTCTCGGTGCCCAGGACATCGGGACAGGCCTGAAAACTCAGGAGCAGGCGGCTCTCTTCGGTGCAGCTCTCGATGTTCGAGACGGGCGACTTGCACTCGCCATGGCCCCGATTGTACGTGAATATGAAGGGGCCTGCGCGGAGGGGATGATGATGATGATTAATTAAATAATTGAGAGATGGGGCGGAATTTGGTTTTTGGTACTCACCCTTTAGCGGGCACTTGACCGGCTCGGCGCTCTCGCGGAAGAGGGAATAGAGCAGAGCATCGCCCGGTATTTGATCGCAGAGATTCTGTAAAGTCTCACGGCCCTTGCAAAAGTCTGGGGGACATGATTATTTGAAAAGCACACATAGAAATACAATTAATGCAAATCGCTAAAACAGTTTCGTCGCAGACAAAGAAAACGTACACACAGAGAGAAAGGCGGAAATAAGACGAAATGGGAAATGGGAATACGTTTAAAGGTGGATGGATCGAGTAGAATAGCAAAGTATAGTTAGATAGATTAGTTTAAATAGATTAATAGATAGATAGATAGAAAACAACACATTTAGGTGAGCTTTTGTTTTTGTTTTTTTGTTTTTTTCTTTAAGGAGTAAATAAAAAACAATTCTACAAAGTTCTAAAGTTTTGTTAAATCATTTTCTGTGCGGCGCACTGGAAGCTGCTCCCCGGTCTCAAAGTCAAGAATGCCATTTAAATTAAACAGATATTTCTTTTAATTAAGTGGCCTCTTGCCGCTTGCTGAGAAAATTGCGCAAAATGATGCTTGAAAATCTGCAAAGCCAACAAAACAATGTCGCATCGGAAGAATTCTTCGGAGAAAGTCAGCTTCGAGTGCGGCGACACAATGAACAGAAACAACAACAATTTCTGTTGAAATGTGTGTTCAAAAATTAAATAAAAAAAAATTAAATGAGGCGCAAACTCAAATCAAAAAGACAAGAGAAATTTTTTGCGTTTATTTTTTGTATTTTTTTGCACGACAATGCAGGAGATTTTATGCATTGCTGAGCTTTGTGTATTAAAAAAAAGTAAAAAACTGAAAATTGTTAAAGTTTTAATTATTAAAAAAAGAGAAAAGAAGAAAAAAAGAACACATGGTCTTTGCGGCTCTCTTGATAGACACACACCGAACCGAAGAAAGTCGGGATACAAGGCAAAGGATAACTTTTGTTTAACAATATATTTTTTTTTTTTTGGTATTTCTGTTTGCTAGGGCAAGCATAACATGTATAAATGAAAATAAATAAGTAATTAATTAGATTAATTTAATGTAAAACTCGTATATGCTAAGAAATAATACAAAAAGATTAGTTTGATTTGCAGTTTTGGCAAATGTAGTTTTCGCAGTTTGTTGGATTCGATATTTGGTAAAGGGTCCTCTCTTTTTTTTTTGTTGCTTTTTTTAATCGTAACTTAATCCGTTAGCTTTATAGTAATATATATATATATATAGATATGGTTAGGCAACCAACACAGACAGGCATATATATGTATATAGTTGTAAATACATGTAGTAGAAAAGGTTTTACAGCTAAAAGGCACAACAAACAATTCGGGAGCGCTTTTTTGAATATCATCTAAACTAAATAAAAACAAGCACACACAGAATAGTGTTGGAAAATACACGAAAAACGCTCAAACAAAATTCAACCAAAAATTATGTACAGACTTGTATAAGCCAAATGCTGGGCATGTGTAAAGTAGATGGCTGTGTGTGTGTGTGTGTTGGCAAGGTGTGTAGAGTTTTTGTCTGTAGAGTGACTGTGTGTGTGTGTGTGTGGCCTCTTTGAGTAATGATTGTAATTAAGTAGCAACTAGACTTGATGAAAAGCATAACGTTATAACAAGGCGCTGTTGGGGCGTGGCGTTTGTGTGCGTGTGTGTGAGCTGGAAAGTGTGTGTTTTTATGCTGTTCAGTGTTGGTTTGGCGGCAACTACTACGAAGAAGCTTGGTATATCATGACAAGGCAAAAATACGACAGCACAGGACATTAAAAATAAACTATGTATTATATTTTTTGGTATGTAAGTAGTTTGGGTTTTAATTCCTTTTGTTGGCGCGCACACACGCACACACACACGCCCACACACATATGTATGTAAATGGTTAAATGTAATGTGTGTAATATTTATAGCTGGACTATAATACGATAATATAATACACAAACGAACAAACAAACAAACACACACGCACAAACAACACTTAGAACGAACGGAATGAAAAATGACACACATCTAGTTAGGAGTTTCGTACGGAAAAGTACAAATATAAATTATGATAGAACCGAGAGCAGAAATTGTTGAGTTTCATGTTAAAATTACATTAATTAAATAACACACACATTTAGTATTATGTACAAATTAACAAAACGCAAAAAAACAAAAGTAACTAAAAGTAAGAAAAAAAAAACGTAGAAGACAGTAACAACTAACTAAAAGGTACAAACACGGACACACACATATGTTCGAAAAAAAAAAGGAAACAACAACACGGATGAGGTGTGGGATGGGAAGAGGAAAAGTGTGAACTCATAGAGCGAATAGTAGTAGAAGTAGTAGTAGTAGTAGTAGAAGTAGTACAAATAGTAGTAGGGTAAGTAGTTAAATAGTAGTAGGTTTTTTAGGTTAGGTTAGAATGTAGAGTAAGAAGAAAGTACAACAAGTAATTGATAAATGAGACAATTATACTAGCGGTCACCGGGCAGCCCATCCCAACATATTTTTATCATCATGTACAATATGTATGCAAAATATATATACATAAATATATAAATTGCTACTATTTCGTTTTTCATAGGTTTCTTTTGCTATTTTTTTTTTTTCTTTACAATTTTCTTTGGCATGTGCCAAAAAGCGCACAGCACGAGTAAATAATTGTTTTTGGTTTTTTTTTTTACAAAATTTAGCTGAAATCCTGTTTTCTTTTTCGACAAAACAAAGTGTGACAGAGAATAACTGAAATTAAATGGATGTGGGAATGTATTTGCTATTGATTATTATACAAAATGTGTTTTTCGATTGATTTATTTTTTTTTTTCGTTGCCAAACAAAAAATGCAAAAGTTCTTTAAGCGACAAATGAAAATGTTATCTCGGGGAAATTTGTTCGGGAACTGGGAACGGACAAACGTATAAAAATGGGATTTGAATGATGAAGAAATCCGAGTTCTCGCATTATTCGTATGATTTCCAAAAGCGGCAGGTATATATAACGCACACACTCACACACACACACACACATAGCATGTAACAATGAAATATTTACAACTAGCAGAAATTACCCGGCATTGTCCGGGCCAAGTTTTCAAATATGAGCAGTCTTTTATATATACAGATTAGATTAGAGCACATTGAACTCGTTTTGATCGAATCGGATAAACAGATGTTATATGGATTTTAACATGCAATGGAACCCATTTCGGAAATCATATTCCAGCTTCGTTCTGTGCCGAAACATAGGACAATATATAAAAAGAAAAGGCTACACTCGCTCGTTTGAAGAACTGTACAAAAATTTAGGCGATGATTTCACGTAATGATGATTTTTTTTTTTTTTTTGGTTAGCAGTGGGTTAATATAAAACATTAACAATTATAATCATGTACAAAGAGTTATTTTCCAAGAGTTATTATTGATAAATATACAAAACAAAAAAATAAACTAAATTAATTGAAATTAAAAGAAAGACAACAAACAACAGTTCTCCAAATAATTATGAATTATTCAAAATCAAAACGAAAAAGAAATCGTTTATCAACAAACGAACAAACACAATAAATATATTTTATCTGTACAAGAGATGGAGGAAGGAGTCTTTATTTACAGCGTGTGTTGTTGTTGTTGTTGTTGTTTTTGTGTTTGTAATATCCTTAATTGATTTTCATTATAATATACACAATTGATTTATGCGATTCTTCTGTACAATCCTTGACAAAAGCAAGGAAAAACATTCGCCAAGAACCAAAAAAGTCAACAAATACCACAAAAAAATCATCGTTAAAAAAGGAGGACAAACGTAACGCAAAACAAATTAAGATGAATGAGGTTTACGGCACGACTTGTCTATATATATATATATTTATTTATTTATATATATGTACGCAACAGAGCGAAACGGAACCAAGTGACAACAAATTAATAGAATAGATAGGAGAAAAAAGAAAAAAATAACTGAATGAATGAGCACATAAAATATTGCATAAATAACTGAAATGAATTGAAATGAAATGAAATGGCCATGTGAAAATATATATAAACATATCTCTATATACATACTTATATATATATTCATGTACAACAGCGCCAACAATAACAACTTGGCTAACGAAACAGCGAGTGGGGCTCAGGGGCGCAGAGGGGGGCAAGAGACACGCGAAATTGGTTGACACCCCGGGCGCAAACACGCGACTCGCAGGCTACCCTAGGTAAATACGGAGTTCTCTTCTTCTTTTACATATATACATATATATTTATACATACATGTATGCGAAAACTGTACCAGCGCACGCAGCCGGAAAAGTGGGCGGGCCGGGGGTCGCATGAAAATGCCAAAAAAAAAAAAAAAACTATATAAAAAATAAAATAAAATTGGCTGTTGTCCTGACCTGTGCGCGGCCAACAAATTACCCAGTCAACGTACCAAAAGCAGGTTGTGCCACACACACACACACAACCACACACATCCCCACACACCCACACACACTCATGTGCGTGCTGTTGTTGTGTTATAAAAGGCATGGTAAACATTTTTACAGACATTTGATTAAATTTAAATATTCTCGCACGAAAATTGGCCAAAGCTTTTTTGGTCGGCACTGCTCACTAGCAGATACCCTAGGCCTAGCGGGAGTCTTTCATTGCAAACGTTCTGAATAGTGTTGGTAAACAATCGATGCGACTATCGATAAGAACTAACGATGAGTATTTTGGAATTATCGATAATTTTCCAGCTCTAACCGTTTTTGAGCAAAAGAACACGGCAAGTAAAATAATTTTAATTGGAATTGCCATTTCTTGGAAAATTAAATATCTCAAAAATTCCAATCAACACATACACATACACACATCTCTTACGTAGCCCCTCTCTATCTCTATCTACCTTTGAGAAATGGTTTCCTGATTAACTTCGGTCTTCATATGGCATGCAAAAAAGTATACTTAATCGCAAGGTTCGACAACTTGAAATTGTGTAAAAGGTAATAAAGTCTCGAACTTTTTATATTCTTCGATACTAGTTCACAAAATCGATTTGAAATTATGGAACTTATGAAAATGGGATATAAACTCCTTCTACCTATGACAAACGGAATTAACTGGACAGACT